TTAAAAATCCTATCTCGAGCCTCAAAGTATTCTTTCACACGTATGTGTAACGGCCTAAAAGTGTATTGTTTTGATTCAGAATTAACATCTGTATCGCTTTTATCGCAGTTGGTTGACGAAGTAATATTGTCACATTTTGGAAAATTATCATGAAATTTAGTGTTTGGTCTTTTTAAAATCTTTATTCCGTCTCCGGTTTTCGCTTCGGGGCACTGTTTTGTGCACCCGGACGGCAGTTTTTTGAATTGCATGTCTTGCAATTGGGCTTGTATGTGTCAGCTGCTCCACAGCCATAACAGAATACTGTCCTGTCGGACAAGCAGTCCTGATACCTATGACCAGACTGATGGCAATTCCAGCAACGAAAGCTAAGAGCTGAAATTTGTTCATTTTCAGAACCTAACAACTCTGCATCCTCCTCATCTACAACCCCCTCCAAGCCGAAAACTTTTTTCGTAACTAATGTAGGTTTTGTTACATCACCTCGATGTTTCCGGCGGATATCCTGCAGGAAAAATTCCCTCCTTCTGCAGATATCCCTGAGTTCTTGAATGGATGTTATTCGGATATTCAGAATCTCATGCTGTATCTCAGGCAAGAGATTACGTCTGAGGACTTCTACAAGCATGTCGTTCGAAAGAGGCTCTTTTAGTCTATCTGTAAGCTCAACAACAGCATCGTAAAAATTATCGAAGCTTTCTCCTTGCTTCTGCTTGCGATCTCTAATCAGCTCCCTTATATCAACGTCCGATCTGGAATCGCTGTACTGTTGTCTCAGAGCCCTACATAAAGCATTCCAGGATACAGTGTCAACTGAGCGGTGGTACCTCCAGAACCAATCAGCAGCCTTTGATTCAAAAAGTGAACTGGCATTTCTACAAAGCAAGTCAAAATCCCCTTGCAATGTTTGGAGAGTTAATGCTTCTACCCTGTAAATAAAATTTTCTACGCTAAGACCGCTCGTATTACCAGAAAACTTAATTCTCCAATTTGCTATTATATGGAGAACCTTATCAGGTCTCGAGGATAGGTCTGACGAAGACGAATTATTCGAAGCAGTTGGGAGAACACGGCTGGTATTCAAGGGGGCATTAGTGTGGGAATTGTTAAGCGAAATGCCAAACATCTCACGAAAAGTGCGCTCTTCCACTGCCGGGAGAGTCTGCATTTGCCTCGGTGAGGCTTGTTGTGTTGCTGCCGGAGCAGTGGTTGCAGCACTTTGACTGTTCAAATTCATTCTAGAGAACCTAGACTCAATGTTGTTTTGTACGATCAAGGAAATTCGGTCGCCTAAACTTGCTAGTAGCTGGGCTTGTTGAGCCGAAACTATGGAACTTATCATCTCCTGAAGTTCCCCTGGTCGTATATTCACAGAATTATCTGACACATTGGTCCCTGAAGGATTAACTGCAGCAACAGCAGACTGTTCGGTATTTGATCGATTAGTAGCTGGCTGAACAGATGTCGCTCTTGATTGAGCTCTTGTGGTGATTCCAGACGCACTGGGGGTCGGTGGCTCACAGAGCAATCTGGAATTGCACACCGGACAATATGGTCGTGTCTTTTCACACTTCGCTATGCAAGTTTTATGGAACTTATGCCCACAATTTGTCCTTATCAACTGTGTCTTCGAAGTGATAGAAGAGGCACATGCTTCACAAGTCGGATATGTAGAATCTCCAGAAATTCCCGCAGCTAGGTCCTCGCTACTAGGTTCAACTGACATTGTGTATACTTCAATTTGACACTGTAATAATTAAAGTCTATGATATAACAAACAATCTTTAAACCAAATGTCCAATAAGGTGGAAATTTGCCAAATTTAATGAAGGAAAAAAAATAAAATAAATAATAGGTTTAGGTTTCACAGGGATCAGACCTGTTTCAAAGATATTTCACTTCCAAAACAAAAATGAAACCACTATGCAATAAATATTCCTAAAAAATACATAAGTCCGTAAAAAGCACTTACGTATGTTTTTAAAATAGAAATTACTTTTGGTAAATATATAACCCTTTAAATAGCAAAAATATCATATAACCAGTTAAAGAAAAAAATCAAATTTTCGAAGCACACGAATTTGCAATGATATTCAATGAAATTTCAATGTCCTACAGGGTTCACAAATTTCCCCCTTGCTAATTATGAAGTTTTTTTTTTTTTTTTTTTTTTTTTTTTAAATTCCATAAAAAATGACAATAACTTTGAAATACAAATTATCCATTAATATTAAAGCTAAATATAAATTTAAATTAAAATGTTTATAAAGCACGTTAAAACCAATATTATTTCAACTTTGTTTTTGATATCTGTTTGAATACTCTATCGTAGAAAAGGTTTGTTAGTAAACACATCATTTGACCCAAAATAAATAGAAATTAAAAGAAAGATAGTTCAGGGAAGTTTCAAACCCCGGTAAGGAGAATCTACTCCAAATTTTCCAGGAAAATGAACTAGACTCCTAATTTTATTGTTACAAAGCCTCGAGGTTAGATCTAGCCAAAATTGACATTCAGAAACTAAATTCCATCGAGTTTTGAGGTGCAATAAAATCAGAGAGGAGAAGATGAGAATATAAAAATTAGTGGTCATTACTGGATTAATATATCTTTACCATAAATGAATTCCGACTAATTGCAGCATAAAACGATTATATACAGAGGTAATAGATTACAGGAAAAATAAATTTTATGTGAAGCCGAACAAATATAGTAATATTCCAGGTGTTAAATCGAAAGATAATATTCTCGTTCGGGCCCCACGTTGGACGCCATTTTTCTATATAATGTAGCATACAACGGTTACAGAATGTGGCTGTTGTTCATAGGAGGACATTCTAAGGGGATGCACGTTTATACACGGCCTTATAGCTCGTCGGAAGGGGGGGTTCGGTAACCTTAGATGCTCCATTACCACTTAGCTACATAATGATATATAAAAAAAAATACGTGCATACTGATTTGCATTGATCATACATTCAAAATTTTAATAATTTTCCGAAAACATAAAAAGTTCGATCTGGTCACCTTTTTGTTAATTCTCTTTTAAACATATGATTTGCAATTACAAACAGTTCAATGACTTACTTTGTTTTTTGATGTTGTCCTCCCTCGTTGAAAGTACTTTCGCTGAGTTCGATGACGGTGGCTTTGGCGCTGGCTGAGAGTGTGTACACGAATAAAGGCAAAGAGTAATTGAAAGAGTTACGGTCACTTACTCTTCAAATATGATCAGAGATTTGCAATATCGTATGTGGATGCTATGAGAAATATTTAAGAGATTTAATAATGCAACTTAACAGTGATGATTCTAACAGCTCTCTAGATTCAGCAATATCTTGCACAATTGAATTTAGCTATGTTATTAACAGTGAAACATTTAACATCTGTCCATCAACATTACCCAAGAATGATATTAGCAGTAAATGCATTCGGTTGCGTTTTTAATGATCATTACGTAATTATGTACAAACGTCTGTATATTTGGGCAATGTTCTGTACAAATGCAATGATAACCAATGATTTTTTTTCCACTTTTAGTGCAAATTTTTGGAAATAACTATTAGAATAACAACAACTGAATATAGAAATAACACTCGAAATGATAACAGAATTAATGCAATAAAAACTATATGAAATTAACACTAGAAATTGAATGTTTAAATTATATTATTTCACTTATTTACTGAATTCATTTCGCTGTATTAGAATCAAAAATAATCCTTAAAACTAATTTCTGCAACAATTCATCCACGTTTTTTTTTCGTTTTTTTTTGATGTTTGAGAATTTGCTTACTCACAGCATTTTTGGCACTTTTACTTTATTTTATTCCGCTTTGACGAGCATAATCACCAAAATATAGAGCAGAGGCGGAAAACCTTGGATTATTGGTAGAATTTTGGCGAATGAGTGAACAATTTCTTGTAATTTTATAATCCGGGATATAATTTTCAGAACTTTTCTTCACACAGGAATTTCTTAATTTCGTACAGTAGAACTGACTGGCAGACTTGTGTTTCACTTGGTGGTTTTCTACTAGTATATCGCAACTGGTAAATCATCAGATCGACAAACAAAATATGTTGTGACTTATATCGTAAGCAATTTCAACCTAACGGGGACATTAAATTATTAAATGAGAGTGAGTTTCTATCGTAAAGAAACAAAGAAACAAATAATTACCAATTAAATGAAGGAGAAGAAATTTTAATAAAATCCAAGATCCCAATCAACGGAAAAAATATCTCCATTTGAGAATAAAGACTTCGTAATTCTAATTTCCATCAAAATTTCTAAATAAATTGATAATTATTGTAAAGGTACACCTTAATTACACAAAACGCATACTTACAAGATATAATTGAATTTAAAGCAAGAAATATTTTAAACAGATCAAAAATTCACCTTATTTGAAGGTTATACTTCACTTCAGAAAAACTTATGGGAACTTTTCGGTGTGATCGGGTTGATTCTAGCTAACCAAATGGACGAGACAGTACCTTGTATTAAAGAATATGGCGGAAAGATTCTTTTGGGCTAACGTTTTCTTTCCAGCCATTGGTAAAACAATACATGTAATAATTGGGGAAAAACGTCAACTTCATGATAAATAGCCTTCTGCCTTTCAATAATTTCACGAACAGAGGTCGCCCAAGTATGCTGATTAAAGATTAAATACAAATGTAAATTCGAGTCTTCAAGGAGAAATGTATGTACTTTATAGACAACGCAAGCGCTATTACAATTTTCTTCAAGAGATCTGTATATACGAATATGAAATATTAATATTCCTCCCAAAGGGAACCCATGTAGTCCAAACTTCGTTATGATGTTCGCATTTTCTATTCGTTAAATTTAAATTATATCAAATTTCTTGCTAAATAACCTTAATCAAAAACGTGCCTTTGTATTGTAAACATCTGCTATACCCCTCCTAATTGTTGTTCTTTGGATAATATAACTTTCTTATTTTTTTTTTCTTTTTCTTATTTCATTACAGCAAATTAGGAACAACACCAAAAATAGAAAATATGGAAGCATTTAAAAAACATCTGCACGAACATTGTTACTACCAGGCCTGCAAGGCAGTTGTTCCAAAATAAAAAAAAACAAGCAGTCGTTGTGGCCTTAGGTCTCTGAAGTTAAGTGGTGACAACAACACTTTCGCAGCTGACACTGGCACTGACACATTGGATGCAGCTCAACAGCAGCACCACAAAACATTAGCAACTAAATCAATGTTAATCTCCAAGTGCCAGCATCACTAACGACAAATAACACAACAAGAACAACAGCAATAAACAGGAATCTATTTGGTGAGTGGTCCCAGTCGTCATCTCGTCGTCCTCGTCATCATCATCATCATCATCAATGGCAGATGTTGTAGTAACGGTAAAATAGATTTAAAAGCAATTTACGCCAGCAACGACAACGTCTATATTAGCCAACATCATTGGAAAAAATTGCTGGAACAACTTCCGTGCAGAGGAGGCAGAAGCGAGAGGTTAGCAAAACATAAATCTCACTCTCACTCCCTGCGTATAAACGTTTCCATTACCATTGACTAATATGCTAGATCTTAACATTCCCACGGTGAATACAATCTCCGCCACCATTTCACCCTATGATGCTGAAATATTTCAACAGAATCGTCATCACATTGCCGAGACAGCAGCAGCTAAAATGTTAGCAACAATGTTCTTCGATACTCCCCCGACCACACTGCCTCTACCACAGGCTGAGAGTGGAATTAATCTAACACAACAGCTGACGGACACTCTGCTGGACCCCATGGCAACGGCAACGGCAACTGGTGGCACGACCTCATCGGCCTCATCCCAGTTATATCCCTTGGTAAATGTTGCTAGCAATTTCGTTTACGATTGGTGCAATCAATCGTTGTATCCACAGTCATCCTCTGCAGCAGCTTATTTCGCCTCCAGTGACGGTAATTCAAATAGTCCAAGTGGTTACAACTGTTCGCTGCTCTCGAGCACAAATGGCTGGAATACATCGAGTAATGATACATATATGTAAGTTATGACATTGATATTACTGTTGTAGTTGTTGTTGTTGTGGAAAATTTGTTCGAGTCTTAAAGTTCGGAGAATGCAATTCAAGATATGAGAAATATTTTAAATTCTAAACGATAAAATATAGAACATAGCAGCGTATACGTAATACATTTATCTGTAAGTCATAACTCATACGCACACAAGCAAATGAATGCAACAGGGCTATATGGAAATAAATTCTGAATTCGTAATGACAATACAAACCCTTTGGACGAGTAGAAAGATCAGGACGTTGCCATAGACGAATTAAAGGGTCAAAAGACTCTAGAGACCACCATTAGTGCAAGAGAGTCTTTTAAGGGTCCATAAAACAGAAATTGTGAACGGTCTGGGATTCATAGTAAATAAGTTGTAGATCCAGGAAATCATCATAGACTTTTCATAGAATGGACGGGCGTGTACATTTTCTGCTGATAGTCCTGGTAGTAATTGTAGGCGAACTGCAATTCAGGAAGATCTTATAGATAAGCTGAAGATAGTAAGTCTTAAGAGACTAGCCGAAGGCATAAGGAGTCTTAATGTACAAATTAAAGGGACTGATAGTCTTTAAAAGAACTGAGGCAGACATAGGAGAATACATAGGTTGTCCGTATTAGTCAGCTAAAGAAACAGAGAGTCTGAGATGGTTGGTCAGTGTCTACGGCCAAGGACAAACAGGGAAATTCACCCGGTGGCAATACACAAGCTGAAGGGCAGTCTTTTTTTTAAAGAAACGCTGAGGACCAGTCGGTCTTTATAGACCCTTGGACCCAGCCGGTCTTTATAGAGCCCCTAGGAGGTCCCAAGTGCAAACAGGGAGGTCCCAAGGACAAACAGGGAAGTTCAGCCGGTGGCAATAGACAAGCTGAAGGGCAGTATTTTTTTAAAGAAGGGTCTATAGACCCGCTAAAGCCAGCTGTTTTCCATATACCCGCTGAGGACCAGCCAGTCTTTATAGAACCCCTGGGGGATAGCCGAGAGACCAACCGGCCTTTATATACCTGTGAAAATTAGCCAACCTCCATTTGAAGTTCTTCGAGACCACACATAGGTCTTCTCGGTGAACACTAAATACTGGTCTTCTGAGAGAAGATCATCTACTGGTCTTCTAAGAGAAGACCATCTACAGGTCTTCTACCTACTGTTTTTCTACAAAAAGGCCACCTACTGATCTTCTACGATATGACCATCTACTGGTGTTCTACGAGAAGACCGCCTACTAGTCTCCTTCTCGGTGAACACAAAATACTGGTCTTCTAAGAGAAGACCACCTACTGATCTTCTACGACATGACCACCTACTGGTCTTATATGAGAAGACCACTTACTGATCTTCTATGAGAAAACCACCTACTGGTGTTCTATGAGAAAAAGACAACTTTGGGTCTTTTATGAGCAGAAGGCCACTTTCGAGTTATCTATGAAAAGACCTCTTCTGGACTTTTAGGACTTTGTTTTTGTTGTTGCTTGTTTTCCAACAAAACTGTTATCCGTTCCATTACTAATTACAAACGTTTAATTATAACATCATCCGACATCATTACTTCTACAATTAATTACAACACAGTTAATTGCTTCGACGTTTCTAACATGTTGTACATGCATGTATGAGTGTAGGTGCGAGAGGGCGAATAAGTGTGTCACTGCATGTTTTGCGCCATTAAATGTCACTAAAATAATAGCTTTCCATAAGATTTCCCTGTTACTTTTTTTTTTTTTTTTTAAAAATTTGCATATGGCGAAGAATTCAAGGGAAAAAATAAAAACACAGGTATTTTTTAATTAAGAGTCAGACGTTGATTGTTGGCTGGGTGTGAGTTGGAGATGGCGGCGGGAGGAAGCGAATACAAACCTTGTTTTAACCACCAGGTTACGAGGGTGGTGGGGAAATTTTTTGTGAAAATATTCAAAAATATGGACAGAAGCATTAAGCCATATTCCATTTCAAGAATTTTAATAACTGATACTTTTAAAATTTCCTATTAAGGCTTGCAGGAACTTATCAAGAATATTCTAAAAATTAAATTTTCCATTATTGATGGAATATTGAATAGATAGGAATCCATTTTGTATTCACTTTACAACCAAATTTCCAAACCTTCTTCAACCATCCACCATATTCGCGAGGAGGAAAACACAGCAAAACAATGCCGTTCCATCTTGGTAGGCGTTATAGTGCAGTGAAAACAGATTAACCTTGTCACAGGTTGTGAATATTTTTTTTCTCTGAGCTCTTGGAGCAGAAAGGAAGGAAGGAATTTATTCCGCTAATTGTGTTGCCATTTCGTGAATTTTCATTTTCCAACAGATGCGAATGGTGAATTTGTCAAGAAATGTTGTTACCTTAATCTTTAATGCTACTCTTTCCACATCAGTCAATATAGACGTTGAGCCAAGGGATGGAGAAATATTTGGAAGGGAAAAAATTAAAGGCTATTATTGTTCTTTTGGGAAGGAAAATCAATGATAGTGTTCAGTGAACAAATAAATGTCATATTGGCAAGGAGCATTAAGTACTATGTTGAGGAGATGTTAAATCATTTTTAATAAGCTTTTTAATTAATCAGTGCAATATTTTATTAGTTAAATACGAAAAAAAACTAAGACTATCTGAGAAATTTGCGAGTAAGTCAAACGACATATTTTTTACATTTTTATACCCTACAACACTTTGTGTTGGGGTATTATAAGTTTGATTGGGCCAAAAATGATGTAACACCACGAAGTATTGACTTCCCACATAGGAAAGTATATATGGATCTTCCTATCTCGCCGAGCTGAGTCGATCTAGCTATGTATATCCGTCCGTCCGTCTGTCCGTCTGTCCATGTTAATTTGTAATCACTCTACAGGTCACAATTATGGCCCGATCTTCACGAAATTTAGAATGGAGGTGGGGTTAAGGTCAGAATAGAACCCTATTTCTTTTGGAGATGATCGCATAATATTTAGGGGTTGGAATGGACCAGCAACTCAAAATGTTCCTGATTTTGCATCCATTATAAAGATCACAAATAGAAACCGAAGGACGCGAAATCTCGCATGAAGTTATAGTTTAGTATAGCGGGTAGAATGGACCACAACTTTTGTGTAAAAAAATACCAACATTACTTACAGGCGATATCCAAAATATATAGCCAAATATCGTATATAGCCAAATATCGAATATAGCCAAATATCGTAGAAAAGCAATTCATATGGATGAGTCTAAATTTGGAGACAAAGAGGGGCCTCTTGCTTTTGGAGATGATCGCAAAATATTAGGGGGTTCAAATGAACCAAAAACAGAAAAAAAAAAGAAAGAATGATCACACAATTGAAGCCAATCGACACGACTGAGAATAAAGGTAAGCAGAGGGAAGAATTCTGGCATTTTGGATGACCATTGGATTATATTTAGCCGTTAAATGGACCACAAAAACTAACAGCACCAGAGAGTGCATAAATATTGGGAAAATGTCCCTGGTCAAAATCCTAAGGGTAATATCTGGGCAGTGCTTCATGACATAATTTCAAAAGCGAAATCTTCCAAAATGGATTTGGACAAAAGGGGGCTTCTCACATATTGTAGTGTTGTAGGGTATCACATAGTCGGCCCCGCACGACTATAGCCTTTGCTTACTTGTTTTTTGTAATTTTATTGAATAAAAGCAAAAAATGTCGGAAATATTTAAGAAAAAGTTTAGATTTGTTCGAATTGGTCACCTTTGGCACGAATTATGGCCTTCAAAAGGCCAATGGACCCGTCACATTCCCGGCAAAGCGCTTGCTTGAGGTGATCGGCGCTTTGGTATTTTTAGTGCCAACCTTGCTTTCCAGAATACTCCAGACACAATAGTCCAACGGATCGGTATCTGGAGATTTTTGTGGTCATTTTGCGCTGGTAATAAAGCGAATAACCCCATGTTGTAAACATTCTTGGGTGCTGAGTCCTGTTGGAATGTCCAAGGTCTGCGGTCAAAATGTTTGCGTGCCCAAACGCTTAATACGACCTCTAGAATATTTTCGCGATAATATTCGGCATTTATTCTGATGCCACGGTCGATTAATACGAGTGGAGAGCGACCATCGGCTGTTATGGCGGCCCACATCATCACCATGGCCGCCACTTGAGTACTGGTGGCCAACCGAAGCTGCGCATTTTCCGCTGACCTCTTTGGCAAGTAAACTCGATCATTTTCTTTGTTTACAAACTGCTGGACAACGAATTTTTTCTTATCGGAGAAAACCAAATTCGGCAGTTCACCACTTTTGGCTCAGCGCAGCAACTCTTTAGCTCTTTTGAGTCTATTTTCTTTCTGTTGCGGTGTAAGTTTTTGCAATTTTTAAAATTTCAATGACTTTATCCCGAGCTCATTTTTCAATATTTGCGGGAATGGAATATTGCGATATGTTCAGCTCACGAGCCATTTTTCGGCCACTGCGACGCGGGTCTCGATCAAGTCGCTTCTTTACTTTTCGAACAATTTCTGCTGATGTTGCTGTTTTCTTCCGTCCACTTCCTTGACGTAGGGGCTACGCTACCTGTATCACGGAAACGAGTGATAGTACGAGACGTGGTCGGAAGAGTAATGAAACAGTAATTGGAATAATTTAGAACATTTAAATATTTTTCGAATAGAAGGCCAACTGGCATTTGAAAAATTTGAAAGATTTTTCGAAAAGAAGACCAAAGCCGAAGACCAAAAGAATAGAAGAGTAAGTGTTCTTCGAACAGAATAAGATATGACCTTCGAATAAAAGATAAAATGGTGTAAGAATACAATACCAATACCAAATACCAAATGGTTTTCACAGGGAGGGCCAACTGGTCTTCGAAAACAATACCAAATGATCTTCGGATACGAAAGAGTTAAGTCTCTTTAGTATTCCAAGGCCAAATGGTCTTCAAAAAGAAGATTAAATGATCTTCGAACATGATCTTTGAATAGAAGACCCAATAGTCTTCGAGTAGTAGGTCAAATTTTCTTCGAATAGAAG